TCCATTGTGTATATAAACCACAATTTCTTTATCCATTCATCAGTTGATGGACATTTAGGCTCTTTCCATAATTTGGCTATTGTTGAGAGTGCTGCTATGAACATTGGGGTACAAGTGCCCCTATGCATCAGTACTCCTGTGTCCCTTGGATAAATTCCTAGCAGTGCTATTGCTGGGTCATAGGGTAGGTCTATTTTTAATTTTCTGAGGAACCTCCACACTGCTTTCCAGAGCGGCTGCACCAATTTGCATTCCCACCAACAGTGCAAGAGGGTTCCCGTTTCTCCACATCCTCTCCAGCATCTATAGTCTCCTGATTTGTTCATTTTAGCCACTCTGACTGGCGTGAGGTGATACCTGAGTGTGGTTTTGATTTGTATTTCCCTGATAAGGAGCGACGCTGAACATCTTTTCATGTGTAGGCAGCAGCATTTTGAGGCAGGTCCTATCTTAGTACCTTAGGGCTGTGGAAATCACAACAACCAACCAAATCAGAAAAGCAAGGACTATTTATACTAAGTTTACAAGGGAGTCAGGTACTGTCACTTGTGTTTTGACAGACACTCAAAGGCAAGCAGAGCATAAAGAATTGTAGAAATTTAGGGGGTACCTGGGTGGCTCAGTCGGTTAAGCATCTGACTTGATTTCGGCTTAGATCATGATCTCACAGTTTATGAGTTCAAGCCCCTCACTGGGCACTGCCCTGCCATCACGGAGCTTGGGATTTTCTTTCTTTCCCTCTCTCTCTGCCTCTCCCCTATTCATGTTCTCTCTCTCTCTCTCTCTCTTAGCCTCCCTCTTTCAAAATAAATAAATAAACTTAAAAAAAAAAAAGAATTGTAGAATTTTAGAGGTGCCTGGATCGCTCTGTCGGTTAAGTGTGTATCCATCCAACCCTTGGTCTCAGCTCAGGTCTTGATCTCAGGGTTGTGGGTTTAAACCCCATGTTGGGCTCTGTGCTAGGCATGAAGCTTACTTAACAACAAAAAGAATTGTAGAAAATTTAGTATCTGTTGATGTGGATGAGAAACTAAGATTTCCATATTTAAAACTGTCAGAAGGGCCCCCTGGGTGACTCAGTCGGTTGAGCATCTGACTGTATTTCGGCTCAAGTCATAATCCCAGGGTTGTGGGGTTGGGTTCTGAACTGAGCATGGAGTCTGCTTGAGATTCTCTCTCTCCTGCCCCTGTCCCCCACTTACTTACTCTTTTTAAAATATATTTTTAAAAAAGCAGGGGCGCCTGGGTGGCTCATTCAGTTAAGCATCTGACTTTGGCTCAGGTCATGATCTGGTGGTTCATGAGTTCGAGCCCTGCATCGGGCCATGTGCTGACAGCTCAGAACCTGGAGCCTGTTTCAGATTCTGTGTGTCTCTCTCTGCCCCTACCCCAATCACACTCAGTCTCTCTCTCAAAAATGAATAGACACTAAAAATTTTTTTTTAAAACTCAGAAGACTTTTAAATGGAAAACATTAAACCACTGTCAGAAATGTTAAAAAAAAAAAAGCTGAAAAATTATGGCTGACAGGAGTGGAAAAGCTTTATAGTGTGAACAAGTGAAGGTTTCAGTATGCCGTGGTTAGGGGCTGTTGGCATGGGGAAGCTGCAGGCAACCTAATTTGAAGTGGGATGTCCAATGCCATTGGTTAGGGGTGCATATGTGGTTTTCTAGGTTTGGTCTTCAGTTGAAAACAGACAAACTTAGGGGAGCTGTCACTTTGTCACTTACTAATCAAGTGCTGGCCATTTGGGGATGATTGTTACAGAAGTTAATATTTAGCTTCCTGGATTGTCACTAGAGATAGCAGGTCTGACTTCTAGCTGGCTGGCTTCCTCAGTTGTTTGTTGTTTGTAGATAAAAGGTTTGGTTTTCTGCAGAGACTGCTGCAGATTGTAGGTCAAAGTTCCATGTTTGTATAAGGTCTATCCATGGTCCATTTGTGTATTCAGTCTCTCAGAGCTTCTTGTGAGCAGTAACTACCCTTGTATTAGGGTTCTCTAGAGGAACAGAACAGAGAGAGAAAGAGAGAGAAAGAGATTAATTTTAAGTAATTGGCTAATGTTACTCGGGCTGGCCAGTCTGAAATCTGTGGGTCCAGCTAGAGATTCATTAAGAGTTGTTGCTGTCTTGAGTCCAGAATCTGCAGTCTCAGACAGGGTTTCTGTGTTGCAGGCTTGAGGCTTAGTTTTATGTTAAATTCTTTGCTTTTGACTGATTGGGTGAAGGCCCCCAACATAGAGACTGGTCTCCTTTACTCAAAATCTACTAATTTAATGCTAATCACATCTAATAGTTATCTTCCCAATAACATCTAAACTGGTATTTGACCAAACAGTGGGCACTATAAGCATAGCCAAGTTGACGCATGATTAACCATCACAAACATGTCCTAGGCACTGTTCCTTACTTACTGCCTGAGAAGTCACCATTATGTTTATTAGGGTTTATGAGGTTTATCTACAACTTTTGGTTGTCTGCAAGCATATCTTTCTCCATTAATATAGTTTACACAGAGGCAGTGACTTAGTATTTAAACACTGCACCCTCCACCTTCCACCCCCTTCATAATACATCTGGCCTTGTAAGAAGGAAATAATACTTAGACAGTCACCTTCTGGTTGGGTTAGCTGAAGTCAGGCTGCCAGAACACTGTTTTCACTGAGTTGCTTTATAGGGCACTTTATCCAAAATACCATTCTACCCTTGTGTTTACTACATTCACTGTTGGAATTCTGAATGAAATTAGTATCTTACACCAAAGCCAGTGGGTACTATCTTAAGTAGACATACAGCAGTATGTTTATTATATTCAGCTAGATGACATTTAAGAGAAAATATTACAGAGTATAACAAGCTCATTTCTTTTGCTTGTGACTCAGTTTAGTCATATATTTGTACCTGAGAGCTTATTCATAGCTGGCTTCTGGTTGCTTTCTATTACATAACAAAAGAAATGGCACTTACCCTTCTTCTCGGTGTTCTTGTAGGTTTTCTTAGTTTTTTAGAGATTTCTATTATAGGTAAAGTTGGTAAGGTGGTCCATGATTTTGGAATTTTGTGCCAAAGACTACCAGCTCTGAGATGTGAGGAGTAAATAAAAAGTAACCATGAAATCTGGAATATTTTTTAAAAATCAAGACATCCTTTTTAACAAGAGTAGACTTAAATGACCTGAATTCCACAGAGAAGCCAGGAAACACTTGGGAACTATACATTTATTTTAACAAAAATGGGAATCTAA